ACTGCGGGCTCCCTCTCCAGTAAATTCCCTAGACTGTTTCACTCTTGAGTCTCACTCTCCATAGTCCTCCTACCCACCCCTCAATTACTTAGCTCTGAGGATGTGCCTCCCTATGCAGTCTCTCAAGCATGCCTGTCTCCTAGGCTTGTTGTATTTCATCTCTGGCTGACTCTAAAACCCGTTAGATAAAATGTCACAGAACCTGGCACTTTAAAAGCAAATCAAAGTGGGTTTTGCTGCACTATTTGGAAAGCTTATTTGGACTTCATGCCACCTAGACTGGCTCTAGGGATTTCCTTTTTCCTGGCAGTCCCCTGGACTGCTGATAATGGTGGCTAAGTAAAGCCTTTTCGGTGGTGGGGAGAAGGAAAGGGTGTCATAAGGCAGAAGCTAGCCCTTGAGAGAACACTCAGTATTTTGCAGTTCTCCCATTCACTAATGTTATTCTTGAGCTCAAAAACCTCAACTGCTTCTCATCTTCTCTCATCTTCCTTACTCATCCACTAGACAGTGGCCACAGTTCCTGACTTCTCCCTGCTCATAGACTTGTGGAGAGTCACTGCTCACAGCTGACTTCAACCTTCCTTACCTCCTGCTCTCTCCTAAGGAGTCTAGGCTCTAATCACAGTTGTTGTACCCGTTTGTCACCCATACCATGTACACCCATACCTCCGCTGCATGCCTTTGCTCATACTGTCTGTCATCCCAGTGTTCCATCCTACCTCAAAAAGAGGGAATTCTCACACACTCTTAAACGACCCACTCAAATGAAGCCTCTTCAAAACAGTACTGGATGGCAGGTGCAAAGGTGTGTGCCTAAGTAGCAGTTATTTGGGGGCTGAACCAGGAGCATTCCTTGAGCCCATAAGCAAGACTGCATTGCTCCCCCCTCTTTCCCTCCTCTCCCTCCCTCTCCCCCTCCCCCATCTGTGTCTCTCTCTGTCTCTGTGTATATACATGCATGTGCACACATGTCCATGCATGTGCAAGTGCAGGTGCATGTGGAAGCCACAGGTCAACCTCAGGTACTGTTCCTAGGAGCCACCCAGCTTGCTTTTTATTTTTAAATGTGTGTGTTTTGCCTGCATGTATATAAGTGTACCCGCCATGAATGCCTGTGGAGGCCAGAAGAGGGTGTCAGATCCCCTGGAACTGGAGTTATGGACAGTTACTAGCCACCATGTGGGTGCTGGGACCTGAACCTGGGTCCTCTGCAAGAGCAGCCAGTGTTCTGAGCCATCTCTCCAGTCTCCCATCTTGCTTTTTGAAACAGAATCTCTCAATGGGACCTGGGCCACACAGTGAGTTCCAGACCAGCCTGGGCTAGAGTGAGACCCTGTCTCAAAACAACAAAATCTTTATTTCCCCCCTTTTGCTACTACAGCACTTCTTGCCTTGGAAATAGGCAATCTACTCAGAGTACTGAGGAATAATGTGTACCCATGCCAGCTATGAAGAGCTACGCATCATAAAACCTCAGAAGTGGAGGCATCACAAAAGGGAACCTAATGTTTTATGCTTTCCTATTACCTCAAACTGCTAAAAGTGCGGGTGCACTTCAGAGGAAAAGCACTCACAGGAATTCATTTCCTGCCCCTGAAACCCCAGCAGTTCAACATGGCAGCTGTTTAAAACCATGTTACCAGAAAGCGTTTGAGACAGGAAGCTAAGGTGGCACACCTCACTGAGTACAGAGAACAGCAAGAAGCCGAGAGGAAGCAACAACCAGAGGTTCAGAGCTTAGCACAAAACACAGAACACTGAGTCCATGTCTCTCGTGCCTTGTGTACCATAACTTACCTTTGCACTGCAGTTTTCTCTTAAGAAACAGTCTCTTACTATGTTTCCCAGGCTGGTCCCAAACTCCTAAATTCAAGCACTCCTCCTGCCCCAGCCCACCAAGTGTTGGGACTAAAAGCAACACCACCACACCCAGTTGCAAGGTAATTATTAAAACAGGGAAAAACAAAAAGCATAGAAACAAGTACCCCGCCCTCACCCCACTTGGTCACCAGCAGCTCTGCACTTTTCTATTGAAACTCTTCTTCCAATTTCAACCATACTTCTGGGAAAAATTGGTAAGAATGTGACAGTCTTTAAACGAAAAAGAGATCAGAACATAGATGATTTTCCCCTCTACTTGCTACTTTCTTACATTTTCCATATTTCTACAGTGAGCTTCCTCCTTACAGTGAGAAAATAAGGTTTATGTTTAAAAATACAGAACTAAAAAAATTATGCTCTAATCAGAAAACTAGGCACACTGAATAAATCCTTTACTCCAAAAACAAAACAAAAACAAAAAACATGAGTATTATCAAACCTACCCTGCTTGACACCCACACAATGACTTAGCTTCTTCCTCCCCAACTTCCAGTGTATCTAACCACTCATCATGAAGAGCTCTAACGTGTGTAGTTTCCATGCATTACATGTATATTATTTATCTGATCCCACCACCACCATTAATGACCACAAAATAGCCAAACTAGATGGTTTTATTTGTTTACAGAAGAGGAAAATCAGTTCCAGGAATGAAACAGTTTGCTACAACATGAGCCCAGACCTTCTTGTTTCTCATCTGGTACCCCCAAACTTGATCTCTCAATTCAGGCAACTATTGACATTTTTAGGCAGATATCTTTGTCATAGAAGAGGTTGTTCTATATATAGCCAGCATCCCCAGCATCTGCTCACTAGATAGCAACAGGTTCACCATTCCCCCAAGGTGTAACTACCAAACCTTTCCAGAAACTGCCAAAGTCTCCTTGGGTAATCACTGGCCTGAAAGAATCTGCAAGGTTCCTTCTGGTACCTCTGTTCTATGGCAAAAATCCGTGTACCATTAAGCCACAATACATCAGAAAACATCAGAAGCCACTTGCTCAGCTAGATTCTGCTAAATAACCATTTCCTGTCCACCTAAAATTTATTATGAAAATCAGTTTTAAATTTTCTTTGCACAAACATGCACATCTTAAGACAATAAATCTAACAGCAGATTATCACCTCACTAGAATATTCTAAAGATATACAAAATATGTGTGTTTAGTGGGAAAGAAAGAATATACAAGAGACTCTGAGAGAAAACACAGATTCTAGTCTTTTCTAAGAAGCATTATTAATACTATTATCATTACTTAGTGTTCTCTGTATCAAATGGGCTTAAACCTACATATATTCTAAAGTAGTTGCTTCATATGGGTTTCTGTTTGAATATATTTGTTACTTTAAGTTATTCAGGAGAGTGATAGCTTTTGGACATTTCTTAAATTTGTAGTTGGCAGTGTGCTATTGAAACCAGTCCTCTTTAGAACCACTACTGTTTGCAAAACTTCTTTAAACTGAAAGATTCACAGCCCTCTTTAGAAGCCCCCAGGTCAAGTTTCCTCACGCAACTTAAGCCAACAGTGTTGCTGTAAAAGCAACACTATCCTCAAAATTCCATTATTTTCACTAGCTTTAGCAAGTGCTTGAACTGAAAAGATTTTATGGTCTAATAATCTCTCTTAGCATCTCAAATCTGTAAGGCGTGGATACCAAATGGCAAGATACCAAATTACAAGAACAGCATTGGTCAAACTGATACTAAACCTGTCTAAGTTACAACAAAATGGAGTGTGATTACATTTTGAAAAATGTTTAAGTATCTTCCCAATATCTAACATACTCACTTTCTAACATCATTTCCAAAGGGCAGTAAATAAATAGTGTACTGTGGCATGGAAGAAAGAGTTTAAACTGGCTGTATTCATTGTGGACTAGAACACTGAAATCCTAGCACTAAAAAATTACAGCAGGACAGTTCCTTAGTGAAACTGAAATGATAGAATAAACAAGTCTAGTTAATATGATACATAGAATTGAGTTATGATAACTATTCAGGATGTCTACACTCACCCTAACATGATGAATTTGCAACTTTAAATTTGATCAGATCCATACAGAAGAGACATTTACTCCATATTACACAGAATATTGTACCAGAGGTATCTAGAACCCTGGTAGTCTCCATTATTAACCTTCACCACAAAGTACCAACGAATACATGGGTCCTTCACTGAAAATTATCCCCTGGGTCTTGGACCCAAGTTTTTTATGCTTCCTTCCCTGACAGAAACAATTTTATATCACTGTAAACACCTGCCATTGATACCTACGACTGGGGAGGAATGCTGACGCCAAGGACAGTGATGTATCCAACCAGGGACAGAAGATAGCTCACAGTCACGAATTAGGACTACTAGGACATGGCTCCTCTGCCCAGGAAATCATGGAGACTATCCCTCGAAACGGATATACAGGCACCTGGTGTGTACAACACCACCGCTCATCTACTCTCCCTAGGGAATTTCCTAGCAGTCTGGGGAGTGTCTTCAGAGGGTGCCCAATGCCACCGAAGCTAATCTGATGCTCCGAGCCGGCAGCCGCGCGAATGCGGTGCAAGGAACCAGGCACTGGTCCCAGTTTCGATGACTCGAGTCCCTCTGCAGTAGGATTTGCAACTCCCTGACCAAGTCTCTCACATCCCCCTTTCCCCGGTTCTCCCACCCAGGGTCCTCCATCAGCCACCCCTCTCTCGGGCGGTCTGGAGTCGGAGTCCGGAGTTCCCAGGCGCGCCCCACGCAGCCCCAGATCCCAGAAACTTCCCGTTCCCGAGACGCTCCTCGCTGTGTCCTCCGGCCCGAGCCGCCAGGCCCGGGAGCCGGCGGTCAGGCGTCCCTGTCACCCGAGGACGTCAGTGCCCAGGCCGCCGCCGTACGGGGCCATAAACAGGATGTCAAGAGGCGCTATCCGCGCTTGTTTATGAAAAGTCGCCGCTCGCCGGAGGGGGCTGCCCGCTGGTTCCCACCCACCGCCGCCCGCGTCCCAGGGCATGGGGAGCCGCGGCGGGTGCTGCCGCCTAGAGCCCCGACCGCGCCCCCGCCCACCCCGCTCCTCGCCCCTCGCCAGGTCGCCGCACCGGCCGCAAGCTGCTCCACCTCCCCGGTGACACTCACCACTTCCGTGTGCGCCCGGGCCGAGCGGCTCCGGGGCGCTGCGCCCGTCCGTCTCGGGAAGCTGGCTGGCTGAGTGGCCAGCCGCGCGGGGCCCTGCGTTGAGCGCCCGCGGCTGAAGACCGAGCTCGCGGACCGCCACCAGGAGTGCGCAGAGGCCCGGTGCTTCTGCTGCTCCCGGCTACTCCGGGGTGGCCGGGGCCTGCGCTCGTAGACGCTCCAGCCGCCCCGCCCCGAGACCCGCCCACTGCACGCCGCCCGTCCCGCCCCCGCGCCGCCGCAGGCCGGTTCCCGACCCTGACAGCCTCTCTCCTCGCCCAAGTCGACCCCGCCCGCTCCAGCCGCAGGCCCCACCCCCCCCTAGGCCCCGCCCCACGGCCGCCTCAGGCTCCGGCCCGTCCCGCCGCAGACCCCGCCCTGCTGCGGAGGCAGGCCCCTCCCCAACCCTGATCCAGGCCTCCCCCCGCCCCTGACGCCCTTGCTCCTCGCCCTGGCGGCCCCGCCCCGCCCCCGCCTCCGTCCCTCCCCAGTCCCCGGCAGGTTCTCCGGAATCAAGAAGACCAGGCTCCTCACCTACTTACACGGGCCCCGCCCCCCCCCCGCCCCCCCCCGGCCCCCGCCCGTGTGGGGGGGCAGGCCCCTCCCCAACCCTGATCCAGGCCTCCCCCCGCCCCTGACGCCCTTGCTCCTCGCCCTGGCGGCCCCGCCCCGCCCCCGCCTCCGTCCCTCCCCAGTCCCCGGCAGGTTCTCCGGAATCAAGAAGACCAGGCTCCTCACCTACTTACACGGGCCCCGCCCCCCCCCCGCCCCCCCCCGGCCCCCGCCCGTGTGGGGGGGCAGGCCCCTCCCCAACCCTGATCCAGGCCTCCCCCCGCCCCTGACGCCCTTGCTCCTCGCCCTGGCGGCCCCGCCCCGCCCCCGCCTCCGTCCCTCCCCAGTCCCCGGCAGGTTCTCCGGAATCAAGAAGACCAGGCTCCTCACCTACTTACACGGGCCCCGCCCCCCCCCCGGGCCCCCCCCCCGGTTCCCCTCCCCCACGTGCCCTGAAGACTATGCTCTTCGCCCTGTCGGTCCCGCCTTCGGCTCCATGTTGGCCCCGCCCTCTGTCGGCCCCACTCCCTCCGACGTCAGAAGCCGCTTCCCCCTGAGGGCGGGGCCACGGTCGAGGCCCCAGAGCCTGGAGTCTCCGCCTGCCCGCTCCGCCCCCATCCCGGCTCGAGCTAAACAAGCTTTCCCAAACAGATGGCTTCTAGAGGCTGCTATCCAGGGAGAAGTGAGCCCACGCAGAGACTAAGGTTGTCAGGCTTCGCCCCTTAGAGTTGGCCACTCCCACATATCGACGCTCCGTCACATCGTGTGTCCTTCGAGGCATTTATCGCAGTCGCTCGATGCTCACTTCTACTAGTCACTTTCCTGGTTGCAGCCTTAACATACGTGACAAAAGTAATTGAATGTAGGGGTTATTACAGCTTACATTTGAGACGACACAGCCCATCACGGTGAGGAGGTCATGGTGGCTTGAGGTGCTTGCACCCATGGTCAGGAAACAGAAAGGATGAACATTCGCGTTAGCTTTCTCCTTTTTATTCAGTTCAGGACCTAGTGGATGGATTTTGTGCTGCCTGCAGAGAAGGTGGGTTTTCCTACTTCAATCAGCCTAATTTAGATCATCCTCAAGGGCGTACCCAAAGGATAACGTGATCTAGATAACTCCACTGGCAGGCCCGTGGCGTGTCTCCTCGGTGATTCCGGTTGTCACGTTGACAATATTAACCATTACAAGAAATCAAACCTCCAGCTTTGACAAGTTCCTTCTCTGCCAAATTTAAAGAGCTCTTAAGGGAGCAGAGGAGACAATGTATGTAAAAGACTAATAACGGCTAACATTCATTGACACCTAATTTGTGTCCCACGCTTTTCATTTCTTACTAATAATCATCTCTCACAATAGGTTTAACCTTATTCTGTCCATGAGGAAGCAAATAAGGCTCATGTGCCTTGAACCACAACTTCTTAGCTGTCACTGAATGTGGAGGGCAGATAAAAAAGGTAAAGGTTTCTGAACGTGCAACAACCATAAATAAATTCAAAAATCGAATACATAATGAATCTGAGGTTTTTCTGGCAGCGTTTGCTCGTGTTTCATTGAAAGACTTCATTGCAGTCTTGATTCTGATTACCCATGTTCACACTGCCCTGTGTGTGTTGTCACTGTCCAACACCAACACTGCCTGAAACACCTTGGCTCAGACCTGAGACTATTATATGTTATGAATTGCAGTGTGTTTTACTGTGTGTACAAAGCTTTCTGCTCTCATAGAAATAGATTCACTATGGCAAACAAAGACTTTGGATATTATCCTACCATCATTCCTCAGCATATAGGGATCAAATTTGTGTATGTTTGGATTGTATTATGTTAAAATGTTTGATTTTTAAAATTGCTGTTTGAGTTATTTTTATTTTTTAAAACTGTCAACTATCCCCCATGGGGCAAAATTATCACCCCCCATTGAGAACCACTAATCTAGGGGTAATGTAAAAGATAGATTGGAAGACAAGGGTAAGCACATGGCACCATAGGACTACAAACTGCATGTGATGAAAACCTTTCTAACCCAGTGGCCTAAGGAAGGATCCTACAGACAAAATAGGTTGTCTGGGGAGATCAAACAGTGATTGGATATAGTGCAGAGGTGGGTGAAGACTCTGGCATAGCTCTCAAATTCTCTGAATTGGTTGACAAGTTAACCAAAGATACCACTAACTAAATAAAATTAGTCTTATTTTTTAAAAGTTACTCTGTAGAGAATATATATAATACCAAAGACTCGGAGCAGAATGAAATGAGGAATACAAATATTTCTTCCCAACATGCAAGGCATGACAGACATTTAAATTATACAGAACCAAATGTAAGACAGTAAAAGAAACCTTTCGTTACAAAATCACCTAAAGCAAGAATAATAACCATCCAATATGTCACAAATAAGTTATCATTGGAAGAACATATGCTCATTAATCTACTCCTTACCAGGATAATAATGGGAAAATATAGTAAACAATGAAGTTTTCTTTTAAAAGATTGTACTGAATAATGCAAATGCCATTGTGCAAATCATAAAATCTGATTACAAAAAGTTGCAAACAAAAGGAGAAATAAAGCCACACATACTTGCACAATATAAATGTGGATGCCATATTGTTTTTCACCAGTTACTATTTCATTGAGTATTTTCAAATATATAATATCATAGATACATACAATTTTTCAAATTTCATATTTTAAATATGTGTAATCATAGATACATTTGATTTTGTGAACTGTTTCTTAAAATTAACTGTAATTTGTGAGCAAGTTTTCATGTTTCCACATATCTTCATAATGTATTGCTTTATGCAAATAACTTTTAAAGTATATGCTGGGTATGGTGGCACATGCCTTTAATCCCAGTACTTAGGAGGCAGTGGCAGGTGGATCTCTGTGACACTGAGGCCTGTCTGGTGTACAATAGCAAGTTCCAGGCCAGCTAGGGCTAGGTGAAGAGACCCTGCCTCAAAAAGATCGAAAAAAAAAAACCCACAATAATTAATTGAAATGTAATATCTAAATAATCACTTTCAGAGAGAGACACAGAAAAGTTATTAAGTTAAATGGTTACATATTTTTAGATTCTGCATTCACTGGTTCCCATTGACAAGTTACTTTCATGCAATTGCCACAAATTTATCATGTCCTGAAAAGTGTATACAAGACCAAGGTCTGTAACAGTGAGCATCATAATTTTTAAGTGGTTTGCATTTTGAATATTTTAAAATCCATTTTTTGTTTAATAATTGAACCTTTGTAATTATTAAGAAGATCAATAATTGTCTTGTACTTTCTAATTTCTACTTTAAAAACAATTTACTTTATTAGTGTGTATATCACTGGACAGGTAGAATGTTGTCTTCTTTGTTTTTTGTTCATCATCTACTGAGACAATGCATTTTTGTGCCAATTATAGTAATGAAATCTTTAATAAAGATACTATGGGGCCAGTGAGATGGCTTAGTGGGTAAAAGCACTTGCTACCAAGCCTGACGACTTGCTCCACATGGGGAAAGGAGAGAACTGAATCCCAAAGGTTGTCCTTTGACCTTCACGCATGCATGTGTACACACACACACACACACACACACACACACACACTAATTTAAACACTAATTTAAATTTTTTTTAAATACTGTGACACTTTTGATATGCTTTTTCTTTTCTTCAGCAAACCATTTGCCTGAAAAAACAATTCTTGTAATTTTCCATTTTCTTATTGTCAAGTAAGTTGAATGATGGATTCTTGTAGCTTCCTGCAAGGTTTTTTTTTTTTTGTCATTTGTTTGCTTTGTGATTTCATCTGTGATTCTTTGAAAAGGCATCCCCTCTCCTTAGATAAATGGATACAACAAATACTAAGTATCTATCAACTATGTGTCAGACATAATTCTGGTCTATAAACACTGAAGTAGAATAGGAAAAAAGTGTTCCTTGGGGGTAGAGAGATGGCTCTGGCTTGGTAGTTAAGAGCTCTTGCTGCTCCTGCAGAGGGCTGGAGTTGGGTTCCAGTGGCTCACAACTGCCTGTAACTCCAGCCCCAAAAGATCTGTTATCATCCTCTAGTTTCCTTAAGCACTCCCATGCATGTGGGCATACACACACTCAAACACACACAGATGCACATAAAATAAAAATAAATGCTTCGAAAATATAAATTTGTGGAGCTGGAGAGATGGTTCAACAGTTAAGAATACTGGTTGCTCTGGCAGAGGACCTGAATTCAGTTCCTAGCACCCATATGACAGCTATCAACTATTCGTAACTCCAGTTCCAGGAGATCTGACCCCTTTTTCTGACCTCTTTCAGCATTGCATGACACTGGTGCACTTACATACATGCAGGCAATACACTCATACACGTAAAATAAAAATAATAAATAAAATATTTAATAAAATATAAATTTATATATTAACATTTTCCAGGTAACTATTTTTTTTTAATGTGTTTCTTGAAGCCGGGTGTGGTGGCACATGCCTTTAATCCCAGCACTTGGGAGGCAGAGGCAGGCGGATCTTTTTAGTTTTGTGAGTTCAAGGCCAGCCTGGTCTACATAGTGAGTTCCAGGACAGCTGGGGCTACAAGAGACCCTGTCTCAAAAAAACAAAACAAAACAAAACAAAACAAAAAAAAAGTGTGTT